GTCACCCACAACAATCACTCGCTGCTTCTTCCAGGTGATCCTGTGTGTCATAGGGTCCATTGGCTCAGTTGCTTCACTTGAAGCCATGCCCAACTCCTCCTCAGCTTGGAGGGCACTAAACCTGTTCATTAACTGCAAGTCTTCAGGAGGAGCAAGAGCCTTTCTTCTCATGCAGAGAGTGACCAGTTTCCACCTTCATCTTCTACAGACTTATGACTTACTGTTTCACTTGGCACAGAGCCTACTTGCATCTCCACTGCAAGGAGGTTGAGACTCCTGAAGCTGTAGGGTCCCTGACAATATCCTATCTGTCTCTTGCTCATCTTCATGGATGCTATGCAGCCTGCTTACTTCCTCCCATATCTCCTTGACCTGGCAACACAACTCATAAACAACTGCTGCATCTGTTCACTGCCCCTGGGAGCTGCACTCTAGGCCTGGCTCTTACGTAGGTCTCTGTCTAGTGCTGACTAATAGGGTGCTTGACCCACCCTAGTCAAGGGCTGGCTGGAACAAAGGTCCCAACTCCCTCTGATCAGGGGCAACCAACAGAGCTCGTTAGCAGCAGGTACATGTAGCTAGAGCTTCCCAGGAGAAGTTAAGGCCTTCTGTAGCTGTCCTTGCCTAGCTCTCCTTTCCTGTCAGCAGCAAGCTCCCTCTAGTTCCTCAGAGGGTCCCCAGAAAGCCCCCACAATTTCCAACAAGGTTCTCAGAAGTTCTAAGAGATTCTAAAATGAATAGGAAAGTAAGTCATGATACTTTTAAGTGTTTACATATTAAATACTGGAAGGCAGCTTTTTGAAAGCTACACTATGCATGAGATTACTGATTTCTTTCAGGGTGGATAAAATAGTTTAGTCTGTTTGCTTCTTTTACTTATTCTTTATGCATACTCTGAAATTATCTAATTAAAGGATATTACACTTCTTTGTGGCTTTAAATATTTAAAATACCACATGGTGGCCTCATTTGATCAGGTAGTAAATAATAAAAATATAAATTAAACTCCTTTTTCATCACAGATGTCCAAATCTTGATGTATAGTCTTGCTATTCATCCAGGAGCAGGATATCCCTTGTCACAACTGAATATGTGGAGGCTGTGTTGACGACTGTGGTCCTTGAAGGTCTTAGGAGCTGAGGCTGAAGTGGTCGAACTTGAGAACTCTTAAAGAAGGATGGAACTAAAGTGGATGATGACTTATGTGGTGTTGTGTGTGTTTTGTTCCCCCCCCCCCCCACACACACACACACTGCCCTCTTGCTCATATGCGCTGTTTTTGTTCTCCTCCCCTGTCAAAACAAGAGGAGGATCTCATCTGCCACCAACATAACTTATCTTATTTTTAGGATTAGAACTTGTTCTAGTTCTGCCAGGCAGGCATCTTTCCTGCTTTTTCTGCATTCATTGTTCTCATTTTGTGGATTTTACTGCTTGTTGATGTCTTTTTGTATCCCCTTTGTGCAGCTATATCACAAGTCTCTGTCCACCTGTGGTTCCATGTTTATATACCTAGCTGTGTTACAAAATGCTTGTATACTATTTCTAATTTTGCTGTTTTAGTGTGCTTATGTGAGGGTTCAAACCAAGCAAATATCAATTATGTCCTGCTTAGTATACTCCTGCTTGCAGAAGGCTTTTGCCTTGGCTACGATTGCCCTCGAAGATGGGCTGGCTAGAGGCTAGCTACTGCTGTAGATCAATAAGGAAGTGTGTCATCCTGCTCCAGTCTCGCCTCATGGTTTCCTTGCAAAATCCATGTAGGTCTCTTGCAGTTGTACAGCTCCTGAATCCTTTGTCACTCACAACAAAACATACCACAAGCTGTAACTAAAAGAAAACCAGTTAGTACACAGATGAGGATTAATGGTTGTTACAACACATGTGATTCTTGTACCCATACTTGTCCATCCTCTAAAAATATTATAGCACAGTGAGGCACAATCAGGGTTTCTGCATCCTTTCCTAACATTTCCCTGCTTGGTGCCTATTCATTAATGCTTTAGCTTCTTATATACCAAGGAATCACAGCAAATATAATATGTTGTAATAATCCTCGATTAGCTCCAGGCTGATGTTCTTCCAGGTGTTAGAATTCTGGTTGAACCATAGTTGGTATGATATGTGAGAATATTGCAAATGTTTACCCTAACTTAATTACACGAGAAATGTTGAATGATTTTTTTTTTTTCGTCCCCTGGGAGCTCAGTTTTCCGGCTATTCCTGCCAAAATAGGTATAGAGAAACAACAACGTGTATCAATTCTTGGTACCATAGGTCCTAGAATCATCAACTGCTGACTGGCTCCACGTACAAGTAGTTACTGTTATTACAGGAGGAATGTTCTGTTAGAAGGGTTCTTCAGACTGCCTTCCAAAAGGACAGGCAACAGTGGTTATAAGTCACATTAAAGCTCAGTCGTATTAGTGGCGGTATATTAACAGATTTGGAAAGGCACTGTGAGAAATGGGGCTATCTGCAGGGACTCATAGATCACACTAGGCAATAGCAATGAGAGTTGTGCATATGCTGTTCTACAGTCATCTGTATTACTCCTGTAAGTATTCTGGCCTTAATTTCTCCTAAAATTATGGTTCCATTCCATTTCAATAGTTGCAACTTGCAAAGTATGAGTTGCAACTACATACTGACTTTCCCATGATTTGTGTGTTTGTGATTCTACTATGCTATTAGTAGTTTATATGATAAACAGTTGTGTCTGAGTACAAGCTGAAAACAATGTTAACACCAATGTTAATCCCACTACTTCTCTATAAAACTAAATATTTTTGCTGCTTCTGTGTACATTTTGATTCCCATATGACATTGTTAAAGCCTGGGTAAATAAAGTTCTACTTGTTTATGGGTTTTAAGTGTTAAATATGATATGCTCCAATTCTGATAACTTACTAGTCAAAGCTTCTCTGTTAATAGTCTAAAGCTCCAGTTCCAGCTCCTACTCCCTCTTAAATGCTGTCCCCCAAACCCTCCTGTTGTATGTTCTCTGTGTGTGTGGTTTTTTTCCCCCTAAGTGAGTTGAACAAAATATGCAAGTTAACTTTATATCCCACTTGATTCACTGTAATATGCTCCCTTAAAATCAGTGACATCTGTTAACGTTATAAGATTATTTTTGGTATCACAGAACACAGACGCTGTTGTTGCTCCTTCGCAGTTGTCTCCCACTGTTTTAAAGTAGTGGAGGCAGGTATCTAACATTTTGATACTATTCAATACAAAAAAGGTTTTCACTGTCACTAGATATAGGGGCTTTTATCGGCAAAAGCAATACAGATTGCTATTTCTCTGTAACGCATGCAAGTATTCACAATTTTGAACCTGATGTAATTACTTATATATGCTTATTAATAAAATACTACAAACTACACTCAAAGCCTAGCAATCAGTTAGTGCTTCTGCTTTTAATAGCCTTTCCAATGATGATGATTCCGGTGAGACCTCCCATACACCTTACTCATTATTAATTTTTAATAACAGCATCTATAACATAACAAAAGGAACATTACCTTATTTACCTTTCCATAATTTTAATGGAAATTGGAACTACTTAGGCATTTTTCCATTATGGGGTTTTACTTGATATGCCTATGGTCTTGCTTTATTTATAATAGGAGCTGGCCCATCCCATTTACAGCCTAGGTTGTATTCTTTCTATGGGAAACATGGAACATGTGCCCTACTTACCGTTCTGCGGAGGAGTTGTTTGTTGCTATTTGTTTATCTATGCATGGAACATTCCTTCCCAGGTGAGTTGCTATAGCAACATTAATCTCTTTCAGTTGCTTGGTTAAGGTCTGTATCCATTCTTGAATTAAAACATCAGGCTGTCTCCCCCTGCCCTGACTCTAGCTCTAAATTATGTGAACTGATGAGTAGCTTTTGTCACTCAGAGACCATTAGAATGACAAGTAATGTGGTATCCCACACTTCTGTGTAATTTTTCACTCTTTTGCACAGTGCTATTTTTATATTGCAGTTGGTACATTCAACTTGCCTTGAGTACCCAGCAATGCAGAAGCTTTATTTCATCCCTAGACCTCCACATAATTTCGTCATGATTTGCCCTTGATCCAAATAAATTTCTTGATTTAAGTTTCATTTGGAAAATACAATGTTAAACACCTGCACTGTGGTAGATTTTTGCTGTAACTTTCTTTACTGGAACTGCTTAATCTGTTTTGTAAATGGATCTGGTACTAGCAAACAGTACTTAATCCTCCTTTGTATGGTAGGTATTGGTCCAGTGCAGTCTACTTGTATGCTAGCCTGTGTTCCTTGAATTCTCTAGTGTTTTAATGGTATTTTTTTCCTAATGGGGGCGTTTACCATAGTACGAATTCAGCAGTTATGTGCTCATCTGTTTTCACGTTAGGCCAGCTAGCCACTTTCTAATAATTCCTTTTGCATTCAAGCAACTTCTAGATGGTCTTGTTCATGCACATATTGAAAGAAAACTGCTTGGAGTGGATACAATGCTATCCATGTACAAATATATCTGTTATCTGGCCATACCACTCTTCCAGGGCCCTTCACTATGCTTCAGCATTTACTGTCTTCTATAGTAATCATCCCTCTGTCTTCTCATTTCCATGTTGTAAAGTAGCTATGTTTTTGATGCTTTGCTTTGTACTATTTCCCTTATTTTGTTTTCAAAATGGGAGCTGCTTCAACTTTTAAGTCTGCTGGGACTGTCACAACCTTGGCAGGGCATCTGCTTGACTATTCCAGTATGCTGCTGTTTCACTATATTTTCTTTTGGTGTGCTTTTACATGACCTACATATCTTTTTATTTTCCTTCTGCATTTTTAGCTATGTTTAGAATTTCTTTCTACTATGATTGGTAGGCTACTGGATTCCCATCCTGTCCTTGCAGAGGTCCCTTTTATTCCAAGCTGATAGCCAAATAGTTAAAACTTGGCACGTCCTGTCTGAAACTACGTACAAATCCAGATCATTTCCTTCAAGTTCCTCTCTCAACACTGTCAGCGGCGCGTGTAGCTCTGCTTGTGCAGAGTAAAGGTGGTGATTCTCTGCAGCTCCTTTTTATAATTCATATTGGTTGCAGCATATCTAGTACAGGACTTTCCATCTTTTGCATTAAAAACTGAACCCATCTGTGAACCACACCGAATATCCTGTGACACAGAAGTCAGCAACGCAGCTTTTATCTGTCTGATAACATTTGTCAGGTAAGAGGCTCATAAACTGGTAAAGGGCACTTGGATTCCTTTGCAGTGGCTAACAAGCTATATAGAGCTGGTGACAGAATTTCTGTAGAAGATAAGTTTTTATGGTTTGTGAAAGCCAATGGCCATCCAGTTAAGGCTTGATACATGCACAATTTGTACTTTTTCCACTGATTATGTACTTCAGTGGCGCGTGTATGATACGTACTACCGGAAAACAGCCTCTGATGATTTACTCCATATGCTCAGGTTCCTATATCAGTGCTAAACATTTCTCTTTACGTGGAGTAGAGTTCTGTTCCACTGAGCTTAAGACTCTCAAAGCAAAGACTGTAGCCTGCTTCTTGTTTCTGTAGTCTTGAAATAGCATAGTGCTGAGGTCTAGGTTGGTAATGGCTGGCTGAATGTGAAACAGCTTACATGAATCTGGATATGCCACGGCCAGGATCTGAGCTAGGGGAATTTTTAATTTTACCTCTATTTCCTTCTGTTCTTTTTCCTATTCTTGCTTCTGAGATTTCTTCACTAACTTGGCTGATGATTTACTGATTTCTGCAAATGTAGGGACAGTCTCACAAAAACTTAAGTGATTCCAAAAGTGAATGCAACTCAGTTATTCCTATGGGGCTGGGGAGTCTTGTAATCAATTTTACCCTTCAGTGGTCCCAATGTTGTTCTTCCTGACCTAACACCATTCCTAAATATTTCACTTCAGATTATACCAACTGAGTTTTATCACAATTTGTTTTAAAATTTGTGTTTTGAATAATGCTGTTTACTTCTTGAGTATATTCCTGTATTTTCACTTCAGTTTTTCCATGTACCAGCACATCGTCTATGTATGATATGACATAGCATATTCTTGATGGTAATTTCACCCCCATTTAATACGTGAGAGTGGCAGCTGGCAGGAGCATAACGAAAGTCTTAAGGTACTTGAATAAAGCAATATTGCTTTCCCTTGTAGGTAAATGCATGTTTTTATCAGCTTTGCTCTTCTAGTGGAATTGCAAATAAGGCATCGGCTAAGTCAGCAATGAAAAACCACTGTGATCTTCTGCTTAGCGCTACTAGAATTTCAGGCGTTTTAACATCATAGACAATGTGAGCGGTGGCTGCCTTATTTAAGCATTACAAATCTGCTGTTACACTTTTTTTGTCTGCTTTTCACACTGGACAAAATGAAGAATTAAAATCATAGGTCTTTGTACTAGGATCCTGTGTTCCAATAAGCTGTTGATAGTGAATTGGAGTCCTTCCTCTGCTTTTTGTGGGTGTTTATATTGTTTTAGTGAAGGTGGATCAGGACTTTCAATTAATACACAGCCTTCTATTTTTCCACCTTTTAACTTTCAGGCACGCTAAACTTGAGGAAATTCTGTTACCAAGTATTTACTGTTTTTATTTCCTCCGGATTTTTAGTAACAAAGCATCAGTGACTTGCAGGAATCACTCCACCCTCACCTCCCGCTGGGCAGCTCCAATTCCACAAACATCCATAGCAAAACCTGCAGCTAACCTATTTTGTTTCAGCAAGGGCGTGCCAATAATTCCCTGCTGTTTACAGAAGGGATCCTCCCACTCAGAAGGGACTTCTGTACTCCTGAACTCAGGAGCTAGTTAACAGAATAGGCAGCAGTTTTAACACGGGCACTTGTTACATGCGCAAGAAACAACACTTGCAACTTTTCCACTTTCCTGAGTTCTAACTGGAACGAATTTTATTGGAGGATGCTTATTGGCACTATGGTATCTATTAACATTACAGAATTGTTGATATTTAGTGTTTTTTCCCTAACCACCCAGCGCTAACGTGATTTACCATTCCTATTGGTTATATTGTAATTTTACCACTTCCCACGGGAGCAGCCTAGGAGGCAGAATCTTCCTAGTGTTTGTAACTGAGAGAGGGAGGTGATGCCTGTGGGTTTCGTAACAGGTCCCTCTCATCTCTGTGATATGTTCTGTAGTTTTTTTTCCTCCTTATCTTTCTTGTTTAGCTTGATCAAATGAGACTGCAAAGAATTCATGGATTCTATCCCATTTTTTTCATACCTTTGCCTCTTTTTTTTTTTTTTTTTTTGCTGCAAGTTTTACCGTGTTATTCTCCTGCAGTGCCAATGGTGTTCTTTAAAGGCAGTTTTTATTATGTTCTCCAAGGTCTTTTAAAGTTACTGCTACCTTCTCTTTTTACACAGAAAGCCAAACCCACACTAGAGATTTTCTCTCTTCTGTTCCTTTTGATCAGGCTATGGGGTCCTTTAGTACTGTATTTCTGAAAATTACAGTATGCACAGGTTTTCAGTCATATCCACAGGACTGTGCTTTCCTTGCTTTCCTTCTTTCCTTCATTACCCTGCCCATTTGCTGAAGCCAAATTTGCAGTTCCTCCCATTGTACGTATCTGCAGGATTCACAGGTCCCAGAATTATTTTTGCTGACTTAACCCTTGTACCACAGCTACTTTAAAGGCACTGTGGTTTAAAGTCTGAGTTTCAATTAACTCCTGCACATACTTCCTCAGATGCCAATCCCAACAACTTTTTCTAGGCAGGGTGTGATTCTATATTCTCCTACCTTTCTGCTAGACAAGAGTAACCTGAGATAGCCAAATCTTTCAGTGCTCCCATAATTCTTCTGAGTCTTCTGCCTGCTAACTTTCTTACAGGAGGTTCTTCCTGCAATGTAGCAGATGATTGTACTTCACTCTGAGGCAGTGCTTACAGCTTAGGCAAGGACTGTTTAGTCTTTACTAGTTAGGCCTTGAAGACTAGCTGGCCTTACAAGCTGCATTATGCAAGTTTCTAAATTCAGGGGCCCCAAGACTTCAGCAATTACTCTTATTTGCTCTGCAGTCAAGTCAATTGTTAATGTTATCATCTTTCAAGTTTTAGGAGTAACCTGACCAGCAAGAATAGCCAGTGATGGTTTGTTTTTACCACTCTTTTGGCTGTAGTTGGGTAAGGTGAATAACTGGTTCATAGAAGCCAGTTTTGCTCTCACAGTAACATGAGTTTTTCAGCAGAAGAGTCAGGGTCTAAATTATTCCGCATATCCCTATTTTATTCTGGATGGAGAAATGCTGACATACTGATTATGTAAGTCACTCTGAATAGTTGACCAGTTGTGTCCCGGGTGTATCACTGAAGTAAAAGGGCTGTCTGGGTGTGCAGAAATCCGTCTGTCCAAAATAGCTTTCAGAATCTGTCTTCAGAATAGTAGATGATTCACTGCAAGATAAAAAATAGCAATGTTAACTTTAGAACCTAACTATCAGAAACTGAGGGCCTACTCTTAAACACCATTAGAGCAGTATTATATATCCAGGTCAAGAGAGAGAAAACTCGGAATGTTTTTATTACCACCTAGATCAAAGTTGATGCACGATGGAAGATTTTGATAGCATTTTTTGCTGTTATTTCTACTCACACTGTCTTCATTTGGAAGACATTACCAGGCTTAATGCTGGTGTGTGACTCATCTAGTATGGCATCAAGTCCCTTATCTGCATCCACATGACCCATTGCGAGGAGGTCAGTTTACCATTATCAGAACAAGCCACTGCTGCGAGTATCTTGCTGGCACAAAGGATGTTTTGATCACTACCATAGTACACAGCACATCTAAGGAAACAGGATAATAACTTCTACCTTTTCTTGAGGTTAAAATGTCTGTGGGGAACATTTTACTATGAACTCTTGAAGTGGACTTTGATTCTGCATTTCTGTCTTATCTTCCCTGTGAAACAGAAGAAATTGTCTGTGTTTCAGTGCAGGTGCTAGAGTTCCCTGGAACAAGAGTAACCTCTGTAACAAATCAGGTGTACTCACCTAGTGTAACACCCGGTATACAAAAAGGCTATGCATGTAGTCGTGATGCTATAGACTTATCTTTGGTTTTAGGCCTTATGGAAACATTTATGTATACTTTCCCTGAGAGACCTACTACTCTTAATCAGTTCAGTTTACTGGGAATATGGAGGTAAGTGGTACTCAATCAGGAAAACTGGCAATTCTGTCGTGCAAAGTGGCACATCACAACAGTGTTCAGAAAGAGACACATTTGGGACAAGATGAAGTACCTGAATGACCATTTTAAATAAAAAATTTCTTTTTCTTGTAAACATATGATCTCACGTACATGTTATATTTGGGTTTTCAAATCTGTATGTGAGAAGTTCTCCCTGGTTCTAAAGCACATGATAATAGCCAACTTCAGTAATGTAGTGGCAAGATGGTTCCTAAATAACCAGGTAGATATGTTCTCTTTCCTCATGTGCAGTGAATCAATGTTGGTAATACTACCTGGCCTTACACTGGTCACACCTGCTTATAACTGCCAATCAATGGATCTTGTCATGAGTTGATCACCAGCCATGAGTGACTGCTGCAGAAATCATCTATCATCTATCATCTAGATGTGGGGTAACCTATCAGTCTAACTGTTTGTTCCCAGGCCCCCTGCAAAATGCTATAACATCTACTGCAAATGGCCTGTGACATGGAATTGCTGCCAGATTATTTTCTCTAGTGGTTAGTCTGCGTGCCACTGAGCTCCAAGATACTCACTGGAGGTAGTTTGAAAGAGATTAATTCTCTGCATTGTTTAAGGCCAGTACAGTTCTGCTTCACAGTGCTAACTGTATGGGACCCCCAGAGGATGCTCTCTTTGAATCGTTGCAGCATTTAATCATCATGCCTTGCCCACAGGAGAAAACCAATATGTGCCCTAGGGTTTCTGATTTCTATTAGAAGAACATTCAGAGTGTGCCGGGTGCAGACACCCTGAAGACCAGGGATATAGGCCTCTTCTTACAGTAGCAGATATCTCAGATAGTTTGCCATAGTGCTCAGATGGTCTGAGAATTGTTGGCTTGAGCTTTTCTGCTTACTGACCAAACTGTCAGTGAACAGTGGCAGAGAAAACAGGGTTGCTCTTAACACTTTATTCAGTAAGGATGAGCTGTTAATCATTCATTACTTTCTGCTGATTATAAAGATAAC